TACTCTGTACCCTTGCACAAGAGGGTATAGGGAAGAGAATATACTCATTCAATGTTAGATCACCCTCTAGCATCATCAAAGAGCAGAGAAGCTATGCCCTCTCCCAATGGTGCCTGACCATAAAGAACAGACCAGCTAGAAACTAAGATGGCGGCATAGGTAAACACCGGGAAATTGTCGCCTCACACAACAATTGAAAATTACCGCAAAGGACTGAGCAAACATCATCCAGAACAACAGGAAGGCTGGCTGAGTGTAAATTCCACAACTAGAAGGAAAGAAAAGCACGCTGAGAGCCAGAGGAGCTGCGGAGGTGAAGTGCAGAGGTACGGCGGCTCGCGCGCGCGAGGAAAGGGGGTGGCGCCTGAGGACACGGCTGTCTTTTTGAATCACAGGCTCCTGACTGCTCTGAACTCCGGTTCCGGGAAGTCTCTGGGGACCCAGGTCTCATACGGGGAGAGGCTGGTCTGTCCGGCAGCGGGCGAACTTGAGGGAGGCTTTCCCTCAGAGGTGCTTGCAGCCGTTACCGGGACACTGAGACGCGCGACTCCGGGCGGAGAATCGGCCATAGCTGCTTTCTCCGCCCTTTGACTCCCTGAGACCCCGCCCCACCCAGGCTGCGGCAGAGGCTTTTGCATGTGAATGTACCTAACTGCAGCCGAACCAGGCAGACCCTGAACTTCCAAGAGAAGGCCCAAGGCCCCGCAGCGGCTTGCATTGATTCACAGCTGAGCCTCTTCGTGGCTCCTGCTGTGTGGCCTCAGGCAGAGGCTGAATTAGCACCTCCTTAGATCCAGGAGCCACTGTACCCAGTGGTCAGAGGGGGTCCATCCAGACTGCAACTCCTCAGATCCATAAGGGACACACTCAGGGAGCAGACTCAGTGAGCACCAAAGCCCCACTGAAGCAAGTCTTGCCCCAGAAGGGTGTCTTCAGCACAGAAGTTCTCCCACTTTAGACACAGCTGATTCTCACAGCCAATTGGCCTGGAGGTCAATTCCTCCCAGTGATTCTACAACAACCAAGGCACCAAGAGTGCACCAAGAGTGTCCACCCCAGGTAACTGGGGAGGCTGAGCTACTGGGCCCTACAGGACACCTGGCGCACAGGGCCACTCTATCAACACAGGGAAGCTGCCAAAATGCGGAGACAAAGAAACAGGTCACAAATGGCAGAAATGGAGGAAAGCAAACGATTGGATATAGAGTTCAAGGCCACGTTTATAAGGTTTTTCAAGAATTTTATGGAAACCGCCGATAAATTTAATGAATCCCTCAATAAGTATAGTGAGACCATGGAGGACATGAAAAAGGACCAACTAGAAATTAAGCATACACTGACTGAAATAAAGAATAATTTACAGAGATCCAGCAGCAGACAAGAGGATCCCAAGAATCAAGTCAAAGATTTGAAATACAAAGAAACAAAAAATACCCAACCGAAAAAGAAAAAAGAAAAGAGATTCCAAAAATATGAAGATAGTGTAAGGAACCTCTGGGACAACTTCAAGCGTACCAACATCAGAATTATAGGGGTACCAGAAGGAGAGAGAGGGCAAGATATTGAAAACCTTTTTGAAGAAATAATGACAGAAAACTTCCCCTACCTGGTGAAAGAAATGGACTTACAAGTCCAGGAAGCGCAGAGAACCCCAAACAAAAGGAATCCAAGGAGGACCACACCAAGACACATCATAATTAAAATGCCAAGAGCAAAAGATAAAGAGAGAATCTTAAAAGCAGCAAGAGAAAGACAGTCAGTTACCTACAAGGGAGTACCCATACGACTGTCAGCTGATTTCTCAACAGAAACCATGCAGGCCAGAAGAGAGTGGCAAGAAATATTCAAAGTGATGAATAGCAAGAACCTGCAACCAAGATTACTTTATCCAGCAAAGCTATCATTCAGAATAGAAGGTCAGATAAAGAGCTTCACGGATAAGAAAAAGCTAAAGGAGTTCATCACCACCAAACCAGCATTATATGAAATGCTGAAAGGTATTCTTTAAGAAGAGGAAGAAGAAAAAGGAACTCTTACCATTTGCCACAGCATGGATGGAACTGGAGAGCGGATAAATACCACATGATCTCACTCATTTGTGGAATATAATGAACAACATAAGCTGATGAACAAGGACTGATCCAGAGACGGAGAGGCATTGATTGGACTGTCGGGACTTGGAGGGAAGGTAGGGGAGGGTGGGGGTAAGGGGGAAAGATCAACCAAAGGACTTATATGCAAGCATATAGGCCTAATCAATGGACATGGACAACGGGGGGGTGAGGGCATGAGCGGGGGTGGGGGGGGTGGGGGGTAGAGGGTAACGTGGGGACAAGGACACATATGTAATATCTTAATCAATAAAAAATATATTAAAAAAAAAAAAAAAAAAAGAACAGACCAGCTACAACAAATCAGAATGCATGTCTCAACGTAACAAGTGAGCCTAGCTCCCTCTGGTGCTTGAGAGAAACAGAGGAAAGCCGTGTAAAGGGGGCTGCTGGCTAGATCAGAGCAAGCCACCTTTAGCTTGGAGGCCTTCCCCAGAGGACAGGATAAGTGGGAAACATCCAGACCCTCTGAGGATGATCTCACCTTTGAACACATGGAAACTCCTGTTACATAAGAAAATGGCTCTGGCATGAAGAGAGATGATACAACTCTCTTGTTCTACCTCCCCAAGAAATGGCCACACAATGAGTGGGGATAATGTGATTGTATAGACTAGTGGTCGCCAACCTTTTGGGCCTCACCCGGACCACCGGTTGGCGACCACTGGTATAGACTACTCTCTTCATGTATATTATTTCACTTAAATACTCAAAGAATCCTTATATGGCAGAGATTATTCCCATTTCACAGACAGAGAAACTAAGCCTTAAAGGGGTCCAATCACTTCTGTAAGCTGAAACTTGAATCCAAGTCAACCTGAAGCCACAGCCATGGTCTTGCCTTTTGTCACCCTATCTCCTAGCACTCCAGTCTTCTTTTTAAAAAAAGCACATTGTAAATAGTCTTCCATTTTAGCTCTAAGGACACAACAAGTTCTATTTATATCTCAACAAAGGAACTAATAATTTTCCAACAGGATCTTTAGATTCCGCTGTTAAGGCACTCTTGTAGCTGCCTGGGCAACATGGAACCATTTATAGATGTAACTGCTTCACCTGCTCCTAAGCAAAATTAAATATTCACATTTATAAAAAAAAATTTATAAATATCTCGAAATAGGCTTTTAAAACTAGCAAAGAATACTGATGAGAAAGGGAGGAAGGAAAGGAAAAGGAAGGGATTCAATACAATAGGAGGACCACAGTGAAGGACCCTGAAATGAAGGAGAAGCACCTGTAAGATTCAGAGAAACGGTCTGTGAAGTGCCATAGGGCAGAGGGCCAAAGGTTTTGTCTGCTCGCTTTTTACACGGAACTCTTGAATCCAGTCAAGATACCACACACAGTCCTAATAGTCTCCCCATAGCTTATCATATCTGTGTTTGCTGTTACTCAAGTCTAGAGAAAATAGAACAAGAAAATGCCTTTACATTGCTCTTCTCCTTCTAAGACCACCCACCTGGCTTAAGTCTCGCTGACCTACATCAAGAGCTTGGTACTAGCAACGATTCTGTTCTAATTGTTTTAGTGGACCATCCCACCTAATCCTCACGATACCCATTTTTATGACCCATGGTGCATAAGGCCACAGAGCTGCCCAACTGTTGGGTAGGGCCAGGATCCCCAACCAGCAGCCTGGCCCAAAGCAGGCAGGACAGTCACTTCCGGGCCCCCTTCTCTGCATCTAGGCAAGCTGCATTACGCAAGCGACAGTGTTGATGACTGCAAAGGCTATTGCACAAAACATCACCAGAGGAAACACGGACCAAATACCAAGAAAGCACACACCTAACTTTAATTGTCTTCTGAAGGTAGAGATGGGACTCTAAGAAAAGGCAAACCGATGCAACAGAAAAACTTGAGGAAAACTATTGCACTATTAGGCTCTTGGATTTAATGATCATTAGATAGCAGGCCCAAAATTCACCAGGCACAGTCGTTTACTGAGCTTTCCCCCAATGTAACAATATAGGAGGAATAGAGAAAAGTGTTTCTTTTTAAAAATCTCTCCTCATTTCACATTACAGTATCAATATTTATGTAGTCTACATTTCATAACAAAAATGTTAAAGCTGTAAATAAAAACAAATATCAGAAAACCCCACGAAGAGCATCAGTGCTATACACAGTCCTCCAGGGCATTCTACACAAAACCTTCCCGCACCCTCAACCCACTTCACTGAGCCCAGGGAACAAGCAGCCACTTCTCCTCAGGGCAGGTCAGCAGGGGTTCAAAGCTTCCTTCTCTCCTTCTCCGCGTCATAAAAACCATGAGATAAAAACACACCACAATAAACCACAAACTATAATTTCACCTTTTCAAGTTCAAGAAATGCTCAGCCTTAGCCTTGGGATTCACACATGTAAACACCTCACTTAAGTTGCTTTCCATCCAGTTTTAAATAGAAAAACACACGGTTAGAACCTTTTTTGAAAGTCCAATAATATTTTGCCTATTTTATTATTTTAACACATGATTACTTATGAACTCTCCACATATCTTCCTCTGCTTAGTTAAAATTTATTTAAAATTCTTTTTAAATTGTTTAAAATTACTCTTTAAACAATTCTACAAAACAGATGGGAAGAATACCAAATCAATATTTTATTTCATGGACTCCAGTCAGTGCTTCTAAAGCAGCAAAAGCGTATTTGATCCTATAGTGCCACTGGCCATCTCTGAAAACAGAATACATTTCGCACTTTTAAACATGCCATCTTCCTAACCTAAAAGAAAAAGCATTCCGTTTGTGAAGACGCAAATCTCTTTTCTTACCCGCCCCTCCCCCCCCCAAAAAAAAAACCAACATCCTTCCCATTTCCACATTACCCTGCCTCCTAGCCATTTCAAAAACACAATCACACTTCATGGTGCCAAGTGTGACTTACAGTTGAAGATGCCCGGAGGTGGATGTTCTGTCACCAGGAGACAGTTCTCTTCATCACTGTTGTCCCCACAGTCGTTCTGTTGGTTACAGACCAGTGAACCAAGATACAAGCATTTACCGCTGGTGCAGGTGAACTTGCACTCTGAAAAAGTACAGGGAAAGCATGCAGTAATCAATGCACGTGTGATACTCTTGAGTTATTTCTTTCTTCCCCATTTGCAGGCCATGACCGTTTGGGAACTCAGTCTACCTGGAGATCCCAGGAAACCGAACTCAGAGAAGAGCTCTCTTAGTAAGGACCTTCCTTCTAGGAAACGCACAGGACAGTGCCCCAGGGGCACTTGCCATACATTACTCCCTGCACGTCTCTATCCCACAGAATGAGTAACACAGATGCTGTCTTCTCATGACCTGCCCGCAAAAGTCATAGCTATGAGGCTCTTATTTTCTTTGAAAAAGCCCGTGGCATTTCCCATGCCTCCAGCACTGAGGCTACAGCAGCACTTGGGAGCTCAGGCTTGGTAAGAGGAGGCACGTACATTTTATTTTCAACTTGTCACTGGATGATGTGAAGCTCTGAGTAAAATATTTAACCTCTCACCCTAGCTGGTTTGGCTCAGTGGATAGAGCATCGGCCTGTGGACGGAAGGGTCCCGGGTTCAATTTAGGTCAAGGGCACATGCTCAGGTTGTGGGCTCAATCCCCAGTGTGGAGTATGCAGAAGACAGCCGATCAGTGACTCTCTGTCATCATTGATGTTTCTGTCTCTCTCTCCCTCTCCCTTCCTCTCTGCAATCAATAGAAGTGTATTGAAAAAAAAAAAAAGAAAAAAAATATATATATATATTCAACCTCTCTGGTGGTCATTTATCTCTTGTCTAAGAAAAACCAGGTTTAATACCAGGTTTTATAGTATAAAACATGGGAAATAATATGTGCTCTCTGCTTCCTGAGAAGTATCTATGCCAAGGGACAAATTATAGGATGAAAACCAACCCAAATCCCTGCAGGCCACATTGAACATGGGCGCCCTGAACTCTGTAGAAATCAATATTTGAAAATGGAATTTACCATTATAAACTTTAAAGTAAATTTGTAAACTTAACACATCACTATCAACTTAAGCAATTAAGGATAAAGGAGATTACACAATCACATACATGTGGGCACAAAATGTCTATGTGTATCTTACAGTGAATGTCTGTGAGCTTTTTCCAAGGAGCACCCACAGAAGCTGGCAGGATGTGCATAGTCCCAGCTCAGTGGACAGCCAGTAGGAAAAAAACTCAGGAAAAGTACCCCAATCCCACCCTCCCACCCCCCTGAGGCTGACTATCACAGCCTCTTAACTTCTCTTCGATTTTATCTGTCCTAGAATGTGGGTGGCAGGCCTGGGTCAAGTCCAAAGTCCTTTTGACTTTAAAATTCTGTTATTAAAATAAAAGACTGGGCATCAACACTCCAAGGCCTTCTCCAACTATACTAAGGATACATAGGGCTGCAAAGAGAATAACCTTAACCTGTTGTAAAGAGACAGAACTTAAATCCTCAAAAGCATTTATTTCTGTGACCCAGTATGAAACATTATAATTCTCCATTTGTTCACATTCTCTTAAAAGAGTATAGAAAAAGACACCAACCACAGTCCCTGACCTAGCTTAGAATAACATGTGAGCACAGCCCAAGTGCACAGCCACAAGTTCATTGCTAGCTGCACTGTACAATGTGCTGAGTGTGGTCCAGGGCATGTGGTAGGAGCGCTGCTAAAACCAAACTCTCTCTTCCCATAAAGTGAAAAGATTAAAATCCAGCTGCTTGAAATCACATTTATGAAGTGACTTTTTTTTAACTTAATGGGAAAAAAGGATGTCAAGAAAAGAATGTATCTTCCTTTCTAAAAGAAAGATTGGAGTTCCAATTAATACCAAATATTAAAAGGACGTCAAGCCAAAAACAGGTATTCCTGAAACTAAAATGTTGATTGAAGAAAAGGGCATATTAACCTAAATTGAATCAAAATCCAACTAGAAAAATTAACCATTGCTGTGGTTTGAAAGGATCTCAGGTTAGATTACCACACTCAAGTTCACGTGGTACTTTTTAAACCAGCAGGGAAATGTAATGACATTTCCACACTTGACTCATTTCAACTTGTTCAAGAGAGATCCAGTCTAGAGTCACAAAATATTTTTAAGGAAATGAATTATGAGATTCATTAATTCACATAACCAGTATTTTAGCCCCTTCTATGTTATGTGCCAGGTAGTAAGACATGGAAACACAAAGAGGAAAGAACAAGTCCTCTTCAAAGGCCTTACAATATGAATTTTTTAAAAATGTGAGCAGTGACTAATATATTTTCTAACTCCTTCCAAGGACTAATTTCCCTTCTTTATATCCTTCACATCTAGAGTGCTGCCCAGCAAGTAACAGACACATGGTGAATCACATATCTGTTGAATAAATGAATTATCTAATTCGAGCCTCATAAGAACCCTGTGAAATAATTAGGGTAGATACTCTTATTCTCATTTTATAGATGAGAACCTTAAAATGCAGAGATTACGCCAGCCAGCGTGGCTCAGTGGTTGAGCATCTACCTATGAACCAGGAGGTCAGGGTCCAATTTCCGGTCAGGACATATGCCTGGGTTGCAGGCTCGATCTCCAGTAGGGTGGGTGCAGGAGGCAGCCGATCAATGATTCTCTCTCATCATTGATGTTTCTATATCTTCTTCTCCCTTCCTCTCTGAAATCAATAAAAATATATTTTTTAAAAAGATGCCGAGATTAAGTAACCACCTAGAACTAAACCGCTAATAAATGGCAAAATCCAGATGAGTGTCCAAATTCTCTGCCTCTTTTCTCAGACTCTGTCCATAGTTGCATCAGTGTCCAAACCTGCTTTCATAAATGTCTAAGATTCATTTGTAATGAGGATGTCCATTAATGTAACAAAGTTCTCAAAAGAGTTAGTTATTGTAAGTAGGCTTACTATTAGTCAGGATACATTAACAAGACGTATGCTACTGATTTGCTCAGAAAGCTCTTACTCCTTAACAATGGAAATATCAACATCAATACGTTGAATTTCAAATTCCTAAAATCTAAATCTTCTCAACCATGATCATTAGCTGAATATCAAACTAAAGGTCTCTCTGTCACATGGCCCCTTGAATCAAAACTACCAGAGAGAAATTTTGAAGCTATCGACTTCTTGATGTGATATAGAAAACACTGGAAAATTGCTATAAATTAAGTGTTGAAGATTAATACTAAAGCTGGAATAAAATTTCAGACCAGAGTGAAATGTCTAAGTTAACTTGAGTGGTGTTGATGGAGGCAGGCTTCCAACTTGATCCTGACTCACCCTGCAAGGCCATCTCTACCACATGTTGCTATCCAAAAGCCCAGTACACTCAGCCAGTGCATTCAAACAAGAGGGGATGGTCCTCTAATAACTAAATTATTGTGATATTTCAAACAAAGAGCCCTAGATGAGCGGATCTAACTGGGTCTGCATATTGCAATCACCTGGGCATCTTTCAACACCACTGGTACCTAAGCTCCAGCCCAGGCCTCTGGCTTTCCCTAAGCTGAGGTACAGCGTGGGCAGTGGGGATTTCTAGAGATGCTCCTGATGGGCAGCCACGATGGAGAGCAACTGCCCAGTGAGAAGTACATAACTCACCTACAGGAACCCTCTCTGTAGCTAATAGTATTTTATTGGAATGCTTAGTTGGTATTTGCTAATTTACTAAAAAAGAAAAACCAAAACAAAATAGAAGCTAAGGTATAAACTCTTAAAAAAAAAAAAAAATATATATATATATATATATATATATAATTTCAGAGAGGAAGGGAGAGGGAGAAACAGAAACATCAGAGACGAGAGATGAGAGAAACTCATTGATCAGCTGCCCCCTGCACACCCCACACTGGAGATCAAGCCTGCAACCCAGGCATGTGCCCTGACCGGGAATTGAACCGTGACCTCCTGGTTCATAGGTGGTCACTCAACCACTGAGCCATGCCAGCCGGGCTAAAGTATAATCTCTTAAAATGGGTGGTATTTTGATGATTCCTGGATATAAAACTGGGTTGCTACAGCTCTGTACTGTCAATGGGATGCTTCAAAAACTTTGGGCCCTGACCAGTTTGGCTCAGTGGATATAGTGTCGGCCTGCAGACTGAAGGGTCCCAGGTTCGATTCTGGTCAAGGGCATGTACTTTGGTTGTGGGCACATCCCCGGTAGGGGATATGCAGCAGGCAACTGATCGATGTTTCTATCACATTGATGTTTCTAACTCTCTATCCCTCTCCTTTCCTCTCTGTAAAAAAAAATCAATAAAATCCTATCTAATAAAGATGTATTATGCTAATTGACCCTCACACCATCGCAAATATGGTGGTGCCCACAGCCAATAGGACTAAATATGCTAACTGACTGCCCCATCCTGGCTGGTATGACTAAGGTGGTTAGAGGGTTGTCCTGTACACCCAAAGGTCGTGGGTTCATTCCCAGTCAGGGCACATACCCAGGTGGTAGGTTCCATCCACGGTCGGGGAGAATATGGAAGACAACCAATGAATGTTTCTCTCTCTCCCCCCTCTCCCTTCCAATCTCTCTAAAGTTAATAAAAACATATCCTCAGGTGATGATTAAAAATAAAAAATAAGAAAATTTTCCAGTATTGTGTTACCTTTTTAAAAAGCCATTTAATAGTCCTGAAGCCAAAAAAAAAAAAAAAAAAGGAATAGCCTAAGGTGTTCTGTGAATTCAAAACTTTCATAAAAAAAAATTTGAAAACATTTTAAGGACCAGTAGCTCAACAATTTGAATATTCTAAACCTAATCCTAGACAGGATTAAAAATAAATGTTCAGCCCTGACCAGTTTGGCTCAGTGGATAGAGCGTCGGCCTGCAGACTGAAGGGTCCCAGGTTCGATTCCAGTCAGGGGCATGTACCTTGGTTGCGGACACATCCCCAATAGGGGGTGTGCAGGAGGCAGCTGATCGATGTTTCTAACTCTCTATCCCTCTCCCTTCCTCTCTGTAAAAAATCAATAAAATGTACTTTAAAAAAATAAAAAATAAATGTTCAATCTTGACTTCCAGGAGAATAAATCTGCATCTCAGAG